GGCCGCCATCTATTCAAATGGGGGTAACCGCTGGAATATTCTTGGCTTCAATTTTACTAAAAGAGATGTGCTATCTAGTGTATATAAGATATCTATGGGATATCCCGGTGAGACACGCGCTCGAGTTGTTTATATGCTTAATTACGTATCTTAATTACGTATGCAGCTAAACTCTTGTGGTGCGGCTGCATGTGTCTGACGGTGAGTGACCGCGGTATCCAAACAGCATCTTGTGACGGAATGCTTACATGTTATTGGTTTAATTATACTCATGAATTATTAATGAATTTGAGAAAGTTTTTTCTACGTTATAAAAACGGCAATCTATCCCTAATACTAACTCTAACCCTAACCTAACCCTAACTTATTTTAAAAATTGATATTAGAACGGAAACCTTATTTTGCATGAAGTATACTATCTAGCATTGCCATTTGGTGCAATTACATATTGATATTTTTTCTGTAATTACGCTTGTCTTGAAGCTGGAAGCAGCACGTGTAGTTTGGGTTCATAAGATTGGATTTAGACTACGTTCATACTGCACCAGAACGAAATAATGCGGCAGAATTTACGTGTGTTTATACTACGCTAGCTGTTACAGTTTGTTTATAAGTTAAATTAGCACTCGTGTAAACCCAAAATATTTCAAATAGAGCAAAGAAATGTAAAAGAAAAGCATTCAAACTTACAGTTTTGGAAGCTGAGGATGCTTATGGTTTGCAAGCGGTACAAAAAAGTAACGGCGTTTGTGTTCACACGAAGCCGCCTAGCGCTCGGTTTTCATATCAAATTGTTACCGCAAAGTGACGTTTGGAAACAATTTTGCTCGGGCGTAGCGTATAACCGCGACGGCTAGTTGTGACTTTTCTTCGGCGTTTTAACAACTCTCGGACCTAGTGTGAACGTAGTCTTAATGTCGCATAGTTAAGGCCTTCATTCATTCCGTACTACCATGTAAGACGCATGTTCCGAGAAACAAATTTTAATTGCACGATTTGCACGAAAACAAGTTAATTAATACAACGATATATGCAGTTTAAAGTCAAACGAAATTATTCTCTTTCTCTGCATGGTCATTTTATATACGGATTCTTTTTGGATTTACTGTTTATTTTCTTTTTGGAGTTAATTAATTAGTATCATCCTGTCTTCAAAACAAGACATTCAAACGAACAATCGTCCAATTTAAACTTATGCACAGCCGAATTTTAATTTTATAAATGTGCACGCATTTAGCAACAGGCTTCCACATGTATAAAGCTACTTAGGCAAGTTAAGGGTGTAAACTTTCCTAACCCCAACCATTTTCTCAATTCTTATCACAGACTAATTCGAATCGCGTTTTAATCCTCTTCGTAGCACACATTTTATCCCAGCTTAGTTCTAGCAATGGATTCGCCGGGTTATTTTTAATATTTTCGGTAAAGATAGCGTTAAAATGCACCGTATGTATACCTTCACTATGTATGCCTAGTCAAATTATTATGATCCTATGATATGGAGTCAAAATACATCACAACCTATATGGCTATGTTTAGGACATAAATGCTTATAATTACCATATGCTGATATAAGGAAAGTGTGTTGCGGTAAAAGAGGTTAAAGATGTCGCACAACCATTGCTAAAGCATAGTAATCGAATGAGAATAAATGTGTTGACATCATTACCAGATATATCCGTACACTGATGCAAACTGGAAAGTCAGCCACTCATTTTAAATCTTTGAGCAAAGTGATTTTTAGGGTTACTTAAAGTGCCTATGGCACGAAATTTCACCTCAAATGTTTATGATTGCATTGTATATAAAGATCACTTAAAATGACTTAATAATTTCTTTTATAGAATTAATTTTGGTAACTTGCTTCCTTTGCAAGATATTCAACTTTGTTTCATATGCAAATATCACCGGTGTGACATCACGTCGCATTATGACATTTTGAAAACGCAATATTTTACCTTGATAAAATATTTTTACAACCAAATATACAGGGTTAATTACCAGTTATGAAATTAATACATATATACAAGGGCAATTTTTAAGTTTTTTAGATACGTAGTCGTCAAGAAAACTATACTTTTCTGAAAACTCATTATGTGATGTGATGTCACGCCGGTGATATTTGCATATGAAACAAAGTAGAATATCTTGAAAAGGGAGCAGTTACCAAAATTCTATAAAAGAAATTATTAAGTCATTTTAAGTGATCTTTACAATGCACCAATAAACCTTTGGGGTGAAATTTCGTGTCATAGGCACTGTAAAGGTATATACAGTGAAACGTTTTACTCGAAGGTAAACATGCAGATGTCACAGTATAGTAATATTTGAAATTGTTCTCATCTTACTGACTTTCACAGTTCTGTTCTAATAACTGCGCTGCGAAATTGAACAGTAGTGTCATAGTTATGATTTAAGTTGATTTTCAATGTTATGAATTTTGAAATACCTGATTTCATTTCCCACAACAATGAAAAGCATGGCCCGTGAAGCAAGGTGTGTGCACTTTGTGCACTTTCAAACCATGTGCACTTTGCCGGGGGAGAATTTAAAAATTTCGCCTAAATATAATGAAGCAATTATTTTCCCGCCTGACATGTTGATAAAATGTATCCATACATCCTCAAGAACAAACAAAGAGTCAAGGTCTACACGGATAGCTCCCTTCACGTTATTGAAGTTGAGGTTTGTAGTAAGTCGAAGCTGGTGATTCACATCATTCGAGAAATCAATAAAGGATATAGGGCCGGGGAAAAAATCCCCTAGGCACTCCAAACGTCGAGAGCTGAATGTGCCAGTCAACCAGAACCAGCTTCCCTTCTTATTATAAAAATGATCAAAACTTATTTTTGAGCGTAATTCCCACTTGTTCTCAGATACTACTTCCCAAAGTTCACATTCAGAACGGTTTATAGGATGTAACAGAATAGCACAGCCATCTGAACTTATTGCCAGAACAGACATTGGAGAAAAACTAGAATCGGGTATTTGCTGAAGACAGAGTTCTTCGTTACAAATTTTAAACATGAAAATTTTCTCACCACGTCGAATGACAAGAACACCTTTCGCAAATTGAAGCACACGATCAAAATGTATATTACATTCCTCAACAGCATTTTCCAAGACTTCGGCAGATGTTGAATCGTAAGGAAATTTGAAAACCACACCTTTACAAACCACCCAAAGATACAACTCTGACCACCAGCAAGCTTCTGGTGGGTATTTCAGAAAAACAGTTTGCAGTGCTTTACCATTATCGATACTCTGCACCGTCAAAATACTATTTTCAAAACAGCATGCTATATATTCATTATCTGGACAAAAAGTACAGCATTTTATAGCTGCATTATTAACATAAGGAGAAACAGGTAGTATTTCAGATGCTGTAAAAGACAGAAGAACTACTAAATTCTCACTTAAGAAAACAAGGAAATTTGTCTTATCTAAGTTTGATAGCCAGTGAATACCAGTGTCTATTGGTAAACAATCAATATGAAACATGTCAACGATTTCGTTGTTTATAGTATCGTACACTGCCAAAAAAGACATGGCCAGAAATGGAGGACATCAAGCGGTCGGGCGTGCGGGCTCATGTTTTCTTGATAATTCAATGCACTATACAGATCAGTGGTTCAGTTTAGGCAAAATGGCTGTTTATTTTTACTAGTATAGCTCAGTGAGTTTTACCGAGAACTAAATAATCTGAGCACGGCAGATTTATAAATTGAAAATAAGAAGAGATAAGCTAATGAATGGCTTTCAACACATAATTTCCATTGCAAACAAGTATACATAGGGCGCAAAGGCGGAATATCCGACATTGCAGCAAATACAACCAGATATATAGAAAACCAGCAAAATTATAAAATATAACAAACTTTACGCCAACCGAGTCTTGATCGATGCTCAAATTTCAAAAGTCTGCCAATACTCGATAGTTATAAATGTTTTGAACTCGGCAAATCAAAATTATTACGAAATCCCGCGAATTTTAGAATGTTTGCGAGACTACACTACAGCCTATATTGACAGCGGTTAAAACCATTGTAACGTAGCAACAGCTTTATAAAAGCAATGGCGGACAACAAATGTAACTCTTGGTCCAGGGTGCATTCCGTGTAAACCTCACGCCGAAGATAATCTGAGGTAGTGTTACCGTGCGCCAAGTGAGGTCAATTTATGCGCCTGCTGATCGCGGGCACCATGAATTTTCATTAATAGTTAGTTGCTTAAAATTTAAACTTGCTAAAAAGGCGTGTAACTGATGAATAAAATGTTTTGCTGATGAGCAATGATGAGTGTTGTTACTGTTGTATCACAAGTTAACCTCACTCACTCAGCAGTGGCGGAAACTTTGCGAAATTTGTAGCATTCTGAGAGCACATTTTGTAAGAAATTCCAGGTTTTCAAAACATTAGTTAATGGTGCATTCTGGTATAAATCATGTGCTAAGCATAAAAAACGACGTTTCAGAGAAAATATTGTAGATGATTTCAAAAATACATTTGTGAATGCAATGGCAAGGTGGTTTAATTAATAACCAATGACAATGTAAAATTTATTCGCTAAGTGCGTGACCTTGGAAACGTTAAATCAAAATCCGCTGTATCAAAATTTCATCAGTCTATGCGCAGTTCTATTGTTGATTATTGAACAGTCCTGTTACCTTATATGGTGATGAGATTTTTATTGCCCAAATGACACCATAGCAACGTCAATCGACCTGCCTAGAAGCGTTATCACACAACTGTTGCAACGACCGCGGTAACCTGAACTTGCAGTACGTAATGCTAATATTTAAAGTGTTTATGAAACGGCTGAAATTTTTTTCTGAAATTGTGCTGATTTTATAGTTTAAAGTACGCTGAATATCATGCTGTATTTTATTTTCGCCCCGCGATTCTTTAAAGTCGATTTTTTAAGCTACAAAGTGTGCCATCTGTGACCTTTGTTTGTCCCATCTCACGGCGCGGTCAAATTGATGGTGTGACGTCACTGGTTGTACTCGCGCCGTTCATTCCAAAGGTGAATTTGTCAATTTGTTATGGCCGAGACTCAAAACAGCCGAGCGAAAGGGAAATCTCTTGGAAAGTATTGTGTTGCAGGCGGACCTGGAAAAGTCAGTTGCAAAAACAATTCGAAAACAGAAGGAATTTCGATGCATCGCTTCCCTAGCGATAGTTCTGTCCGACCAAAATGGGCTTGTTTAATTGTCCAAAGACATCGTCCGCAATGGCAGCCATCAAGCACTTCGGTGCTTTGCTCAGCACATTTCAAGGTCACAGATTTTGAACAACGGCTTGATTTTAATCCACTAGAACCGGAAAAATTCACGACTAAGAGATGCCTGAAGAAAGGCGCGATACCTAGTCTAGATTGCGTTGTTTCAGGAATTCAGGGCCACAAGTTCAGGCGATTTCAGCTCGTGAAAGAAGACAGGTAAATATATGCATAAATTGTTCGTTTGCGGCATTTTGAAGCTGTTACATATTCATCCTTGACATAATCTAAATATTCAATACTCTTCACGGCAAAAACCAGATAACTCTATAAAGACCCGCTTACACTATGTATAATAATAATAGTAATATTTGTTGCTATAAATTTGGAATTCACACTCGGACATTTAATAGTTCGCCACCAAAGGCAAGTGAACAACATGAAATAAAAGCTTTGTAAGGCAAGGCTCTCATGCTACATTTTCGTAGTTTAATATGTAGATGTCAACTAGACATAAAAGTATTTGGAATGTGTTGTTAAATTGAGTTTTAAATTGAGTTTGCCTTCAAGTGGTTAATAGTTTAAAACAGGTCAATTGAAGCCAATTTCTGTTTATTTACTTCTTCAAAGTCACTACTTCATGTTATGTGTATGTAATGATCTATTTTGATTGGTCTCAGGGCTTTAGCCAGGTACAGTATCTGGTGTAAACACACCATGTTGGGCGCCAGTTAGGTAATTCTCAAGCTGTGTTTACACTACGAGCCTAAGCCTGGTGTACCTTTGGACTAGATTTTTGTGGTGTAAATGCACTTCGGCCTGGCCTAGGCCACGAAATCTGGGCCCATCAGGAAAGGTGGCCCAGATTTCTTGGTCTAGTGGCGGTCGAAGTGCATGGTCTAGTGGTCTAGTGGCGGTCAAAGTCGACACTACCAAAATCTAGTCCAAACCTAGGCCAGGCTTAGGCTCGTAGTGTAAACACGGCTTCAGATGCAGACAAGTCTCGATAAAAAAAATTTAACCCATTAAGCTGCTGAGCTTTTCCATTAACAACCCTCAGACTCGGTGATTGTCGGGGAATATTCACCTCAACTTTGTCTGTGAATATTCCCCGATAATCACCTCACCTTTGGCGAACAATTGTTAACACCAACACAAATATTATCATATACAAAGCAGACAACAAATTACATTATTATTCTTTTGATATAACTTATATAATAATTTGATGAATTATTTTTAGTTGCAGAAAAAACAGCATTATTGGAGGCAGAAAAGCGGAAATCAACAGGAAATCTCCCACTGCCAAAGAGAAAAGCCAGACAATGTAGCAAGTGCAAGGCACCAATGAAGGTCACCTGCGATCACATTGTCCACACGATGCTCCACATGCAGACTTGATCTGTTTACTGTATATTTTCACTGTTTGTAAATATTGTAAATAGTTAAGAGGGTTGTTGTATATATTGTCGAAATATAATAAGTATGAACAGAATTATGCATCAGTCGGTGTACCCCCTCCCCCAACCCCTCATAAGCTAGGAATTGAAAGCCTGATTTACATTTCAGTCAAGGGATCTCAAAGTGGGCAATATGCAAAACTAATTGTGTAAACGTCCTCTGGTTAAAAAGATTTATTTATTATTAAATAAATAAATAAGTAATAAATAAATCTTTTTAACCAGAGAACGTTTACACAATTAATTATGAATCCTGGATTTTTAAATATGTAAAACATTAATACACATTACAGATTTGGTGATAATACTTTTCTTTTGGTTTTATGTTATGAAATATTTACATAATAGTGACTTCAGTTATCATTATCCACTTGCTCTTCTCCAGATATATACCAGCATCACCAGTACAAAATACATGCAGTCATTATATTAATGATTATATGATGGTAAATGCATGGTGACAAGGGCTGGTGTTCTCCCAGCCCATCAAGCCAAACAGCCGACGATATGATACTGCTCTGAGGAATCTATAACTACACAAATTTATCTTTATAGAACCTGAAAAGTTGTTTTACTTTCGCTACTAGTCAGAATTAATACGCACAACCGAAGTATATGTACTTTTTATCTGCGCCATTTTTTATTCCATGGGAGCTTCCATCAGTTCCATGTTTGTTTTTTAGAAGAGGCCCAACTTCACTTCTCTTTTGTCATAGCATTGAAGTCAGGATGATTAAGGATGTATTCAACATTCTTGCCAATCCAAGTAAATTTTCCAGTACTTCCACAATCTCTTTGCAGCAACAGTACTCTGAACACTCGCCAGATTTTGATCGGCACAATTCCCACACGAACACCTACAACAGATATAAATAATAAGGCAAATATCAGGGAAATATTGCATGAAAATCATAATAAAGTAACTTAGTATTGTTTGTAGAACTCACCAATTTGCTAATGGAATATTTTTTCTAAACGCTTCTCCAAAACAGATGGCAAAATGTAATCTTCGTCCTGTTCCTCGTCAGAAGATTCGCTGTCGTCTGTACTGGCAATAGTTCCCCTTGATACGGCTCAAAACAATTCGTTACGTTCATATTTCCTTCTAAATTGCTCTCCGTTATGTTATCAGACTCTAAGCTAGAGTAACTAAGAGAATCTTCGCTGTGCGACATAGTAAAAGAGTAGAAATCACGATAAAATATTTTATACAGCGCGATAATACAAATGTTCTTTACTGTTTATATTGAGAATGTCAACATGTGCAGTGTACAACCAGTGACGTCACGCGCTGTTTTCACTCGGGTCCAGACCCCGGGACAAAAAATAGCCGAATTGCTGAACTTTGTAGCTTAAAAAATCGACTTTAAAGAATCGCGGGGCGAAAATAAAATACAGCATGATATTCAGCGTACTTTAAACTACAAAATCAGCACAATTTCAGAAAAAATTTTCTGCCGTTTCATAAACACTTTAAATTTCAATAGTATTACTATTTATAATTCAAATTTTGTTTGATATTTATATTTCGTGTTATTTACAAAATGCGCTGTAGTTTTGAAGCTTTGCACACATTATAATCAGTGCGAGCACAACGGCTCCGTTTCAGTTTGAGTATATATATAAAAATCGAGTTTTTTTATAGCGTTGGGCTTTGAGGCTTTCACAATATATAAATATAAACGCCTGATAATTGTAAATAATCAGTGCGAGCACAACGACTGCAAAATCACAACAGATAACAAAATATAAGGTAAGTTAAAAACAGCAAAGCTTTACCTACCTCGATTTATTGTTCTAAGGCGCTCAATTGTGTAGGCTAAATTTTCGGCGAATAATCAATATTTCTTTGCGTTTCTCGACGAAAACCCGGCATGGAAATGCTCGTCGGAAAAACTCGGTATTTGTCGTACACTCATACTTTACAAATCTACCACGTGATTTACGACCGGTACGCACACTGAACACGACGACATGAAATTTAGAGCTATATGAAAGTTGCATGCCATATATGGCATGCAACAAAAATAGCAAATGTCAACAACAGCATTTTGAAGAATTTAAACTTTATTCATTTTAATATTATATATTTTAGGACTATCGAACAAATAAAACTAGAAATGAAAACCAAAAGCAACAGCAAAGCATCACAGCAAAAAGTCTATCATAAATGACTTGAATCTATCGCTTAAATCCAATATACGAAACTATATATAACAGTATTCTGAACTTCGTCTACGGATTGACATCAGACTATAGTATAGTACATTTTGAGGTTGTCGTGGCTTCACGGATTATTCTCATTAGTGAGCAAGTCAGCAAGCTTAGGTATACAAAAGATACCCAAATATGTACGAATAATTATATTGTTGATCCTCGCTGGCATGTCATTTAGATATAAATATATATCGTACATTACGCTGTACTATTTACTGTATAAACTGCTGACAATTTCGTCGTCGATACGGCTTCTACCAGTATGCTTCCACTATTGGCACACTCGTGATTTTGAAGAAATTAATAAATACATGCTCATTTATAATTTATTTAGATCACAGTTAGTAAAATTTTAGACGTATTTGGAATTCCAAATCCCAATCTATCTGACCGTATTTTAGTAATAGCTTCAAATATTCAGAACATTGTTCTTTCAGTCGCACATAGTACAAGTATTACTGTACATTGATTCAATGCCAATGGTAGTATTTTATTCGGCTTTATATTTCTATGTGTATTGATATCTATTTAATATTTGAAGAATTCTATATTTTTTCGAGTAATATTTTGTGCGGCCCGCTAATGCTTTGTATTATTGTTCATATATGCATAATTATGTATACATTTTAATAATCAGTATTTCCTCTTTGCACAATGTACACGCCTTGTGTCAACTTGACAGTTGACAGTTTATTTATCGCAGTCGACGCTGATTGGTCCGCGTTTAGCATATGCGAAAAGGGGATGATTGAGTAAAACGTATGTTTCCGTGCAGGCTCATCTTTCTCCCAGTGAGCCTGTTCGCAGGCTAATATCTTCGCAATCACGTAATTAATCAAAAATCGCCACGAGGAAGTTGAGGAGAATCCTTTTAAGAACAACATATATCAATTTCATGGAAAAAAAAAACAAAAAACGCTTGCAGCAACGCTCTGAAGTAACCTCATATGTTTGTTTACAAATTTCATGTGATGACGCGTTTTACGCATTCCGATTGGCTTAGGGCAAAAATGTAAACAAAAGCGCTGATTGGTCGTGAACGAAATTCCCCCTTGTTTTAGAGCACTAGTAGCCTGCACTAGTAATCACGTATTTACGAATCATTGAAATTGCATGTAATGTCACGAAGGCTTTTCTTTTAGAGGCTTGCCTAAATTATATATAGAATACCCGTTAATCCTTAAACTTTAAACCAAAGTGTATCGAATTCTATAATCGCCGACTTCTTAACATCTATCAGCACCAAAAAAGATTCTTACTTTGGCTGAATTAAGGTCGGCAAAAAATTGCCGAACTGAGAGGTTGATAGGTCGGCATTTGGTGATTTAGGTCGGCATTGCCGAATGCCGACTTCGTTTTCGAGGGCTGTGAAATTATATATTTTCTGACGAAAATGACCTACCAGTTCTTCCAGCAGAAGCACCCGCACTAGACACAACCAGCGGTCATATTGAATCAGATTCAGATTAAACAGAACTAAAGAACTTTACTATTTTGAACACGTTATAAACATGCAAACATGGCTTCTCAGTTGTGTGTTGAATAATTCAAACAATGTTGTCATGTGTGATTATACCGGAAATAATACCCGGAAGTTAATAATATGTTAATTTAATTATGATTATGATCATTTTAATTCAAAATTGTACTATTTCACTAAGAATTGTCGTGACATAAATTTAATAATTATATTGAATTTCAACAAATTGTATTTTTGTGCTTTCCCCCATTAAACTGTTTGATTACAAAAGATAAATAATTAATAAGTAATAGAACGAATCAAGTCGTACTATATTAACAGTAATAGTATATTAATATTATTAATACCACTCCTATTAATAATAGTATATTAATAATATTAATACCACTCCTATTCGTTCTATTACCATCATTAATTGCACTCTACAGGAGTGCAATTAATGATATTCGTGATGGCTGGAAGGACTAGCGGGAAATGAAAATACAAAACAACAAAAATCCAATAAGGCGGCGAAATGTTTTTTGAAATAATAACGTGGACGAATTTAAGTCAACTGCATTTTGGCACAAGAAAAAGTTTTAAAAACATAGTATAGCAAAAAGAGTCTGTGAAAAATACCTGTTGGAAATAGTTTTAAGAAATCTCAGCGGGATGCAAAGAAACGTGACTATGTCTATGTAAGTCTGTAATAAGATTTTCTTACTCTAAAATATGTTGTTCGAGTTTCAATAATGTCAGTTCTAGTTTATCCATGATATTTAAAAAATGTACCAAAATTGAACAAGCCGCTGAGGCGAGTAGTGTTCAACATTAATTGCACTCCTCCGCGTGTGATTACCTGTTAACTAATTGTGGAGTTTATATTCGTAGTTGTAAAACTTTCTATAGGAATTCCTGTAGGAAAAAATTCCTATAAGAATTTCCAACAAAATTCTTATATGAAAAATTCCTATAGGAATTTTAATTTGTCCGAAATTCTAATAGATATTTTTTCTATAAGAATATTTCCTATATGAATTCCTTTAGAAAAAATTCTTTTTGTAATTTTTCTTACAGGAATTTTATAGACATTAATAAGAAAAATTCTAGTCCCAAATTCTTACAGCAATTCCTATAAGAAAATTATTAAACTGGCGCAGCTAGTGTCATAGCATGCTTTTGTTTGAAAATGCTGTCTTTTTCGGTTTTTTGGTTGTCGCAAGTGTGAATTTCCATTGCGGCATCGGCGACTCAGGATTGCGCAATTTAGCTAAAACATGCTCACGACGATTATTAGGACCAATTCTACAAGATGTTAATCAGAACGACTTTCGTCTTTAGCTACGTTACAAATCTTAGACGCTGTAATTGTGGGACGTATTTTATTATATTTCACTGCGGATTCGCTTGAACTTTTCTGTGTTTTTCGATATAATATCGCTGAACTCTCATCGGATTTGTGTGGATTTTATTGTGCCGTCTCTGAATATTTGTGATCATGAAGTGACAGCCGTCAAGAAGTGAAGAACATCTACGTGTGTCAAATTATTTTTTAGAATATAGCGATGATATTTTACCAACAGTGAGGCCAGTGTGAACGCCTGAACAGGCATCTTGCTTGCATCCTAATTTCCTACAAGAATTTTGGGTTTTCATGTAGAAATTCTAGAATATAGAAGAGATAGTGAATGACACTCATTGAATGTTGTTCATCAATCTTAATTTTTAATCCACAAAGTAGACCTAAATATTAATAAATATTAGTGTAATTGCATGAGTGATTATTGAAAATTTTCCACGATGATTGGTTGCCGTTGAGGTGATTATAACGCGATAATCACCAAAGCGATTTTCAAAATGGAGGTCGAAGCCGTTTTGTCATTTAAATGACGAAGAAATGTGTATTTTTTATTTCTTTCCAAATAATCACTTATTGAATTATACTAAAACAATTATTCGCCTGATGCTCGGAGATTATCGACAAAAACCCGACTTCGTCTCGGTTTTTATTCACCGATAATCATCTCGCCTTCGGCGAATAATTGTTAACTAATTAATATTGCAAATATAAATATTTAGTACCAGAAATTGGAAAATAAACATTACAGATCAATTAAAGTTTTCATCTATTGATTAACCTATTGAGTGGCAGCACTTTCCACTTGACGAGTAAAATTGTCTAGGGTTAGACAAAGTAAAATACTAAAGTGGGTGTATCAGGGTGCATTGCCACTGAAAGGATTAACAAAGAGTTAAAAAAAAAACATAACCTAAAGAAAACCATTGGAATCAATTATAACAAACACAAACGCCAAGCCAATCTACAACCGCTAAAAAATTCAGTACCTGGTCTGGCTTTCGTTCAATCAACGTACTCCAGAACGATTGGAACGCTATCTTAATATAAACTACCCAAGCTCCGATAAACCCGTGTTTGAAGAGCCCAAGAGAACAACAACATAATATTTGAAAATAAGAAGCAACACCACTTCCCCGGTTATTATCCAAAGTACATTTTCTTATGCCAAACTTCTTATCGTGTTTCAGGGAAGCCTGCTGCACCAACCCAGCTGAAATTTACTGGTAAAACTCAGCTCAGCATTGATATATGTTGGCGTCAACCAACAGGGGCAGAGTATTTCGACATAGATGGATACATAGTCAGCTACAAGACTTTATCCGATACGCATTACAAAACAAAGAAGATTTTATCGAATTCTTTAAATCTTCAGTTGAAAAATCTGAAGAGTGAAACATTATACGTCATTAAAGTGCACGGATTTAATGATGATGGTGATGGAGAACATAGTGAAATCGAAGTCAAAACTAACTCATGGGGTAAGTTTTAGAAAAAAAATGTTTTCAAAAGTATCAGGGACCTGTTTGTTCAATACACGATTAGCGCTACCTTGCATTTCTGCACTTCTTGTTGCAAGGTTGGTCCAACAAGTCCGATTTTACAATACCGTTACAACCTTGTGTCGTATACCTTGTCCCCGAGCCAACGGCGCGGAGCGCTATTCCGGGCGTAAGCCCGGGGCGAGGGTACTAATTCCGCTGGCTTTTTACACCCGGGGAAAGGAAAGCACTAGCGAAGTATAAAGTTGATCAAGTATCGCGGGCGCGTGACTATGGTTTATGGGTGGACCTCACTGATCTCAAAAATATGGCTGTTTGCCAGGAGTGGGATAAGCAAGATTTAAATTTTCAAAACATATATTTGGAAAATCGCGTTTCCGAGTGATTTTACACAATGAGCTTTAAAGCAATTAAATTTAAAAAATAAGAAAAAGTTATGGACTATGGGAAATCGTGAAAAATGGGGCAAGTTTGCTTTAAGTGATTAATGTTTATGAATTTTGTTGCTTTAGCTTTTGCTAAAACATGAACTATTTTCCTTTCCAACGAAGCTGTAAGTTTCCTAACTAAATTATCCTGCTTAGTTTAAGAAAAAAAACTTAAAATGTAAAGGAGAACAAATTGATTTGAAGTCGGAACTGAAATTACCGAAAAATTTGAACTTATTATGTTTGCGGCAAATGTAGTTTTAATAATTACGAAATTAACGTTTGAAGTTAAATTTTAATTACATTAAATTAAATTAAAAGAGACAAAAAGCAGAATAATATACCTATAGTATATATTTCGGAAATTTATTGTTGTATAGCTAAAAGTCCTAATCTTTCAACTAATTTGCCTTTTTTTACAAAACGAGCCTGCGTTCAGTATTGGCCATTTCCAAATACTTCATGTTAATTTGATGTTTAGAAAACATAGGCGAGGAGTTGCTGCATGCATGTATTTCTAGTAGCATTCTTGTTATATTATCATGACAGCATGCATCAGGCTTGTCAGAACAATCTTGTAACAATTATTTTAATGCCATCAAGTTTGTCAACCGCTTGTTCCAAACTCGAAATAAAACTTGAATGGGAACACTTGTCGACAGCTTGTGAACAGATTTGTAACAACTTGTGAGTTTTTTACGTGTGTACCTGTGATGTTAGCGCCTGCTTATTAGGAGGCTGTCAACATTGTTTCATCTTAATTTAGAGCCAGTTTATATCGTGCTTGGTGTTGCTGGCTGTTATGATACGATGAAACAAGTCACACAATGTTGAATAAAAGTATTTTGTATAATAGAAGAGACCTTTTTAAGTAGGGCCAAGTATCAACAAAAAATATTTATAAGTTAACACAATCCCTAGCAAAACAATCCCCTATATATGTTGGGGTGCCCCAAACCATTTCCAGAGCCCGTTGATCTATAGTTCATTAAATGTCTGAACCGTCATGACTGCATTCATCAGGCTTGTTAGAACAACCTTGTAACAATTCTTTTAATGCCATCAAGTTTGTAAACCGCTTGTTCCAAACTCAAAATAAAACTTGTGGGTTTTTACGTGTGTACCTGTGTGTTAGCGCCTGCTTATTAGGAGGCTGTCAAAATTGTTTCATCTTAATTATAGAGCCAGTTTATATCACATTTGGTGTTATTGGCGGATTGGCTCTTGTTTCCTTTGGCACTATTTGTTGTGTACATATATGTAAAAAAATTGGAAAATACTGTCGCCATAAAGTAAGGTGGAAATTTGTATTGGAATTTTACAGAAATATTTTGCACAATAAAGCTAAAATTGGTTAAAGTATATAATCACAATTGTTATATAGCAAGTGTCAAAGTTCAATTTTTCTTTTTCCTCAATTGGTCAAAAACGTGTCGCGTGCCGGTCGACCAAACGTCATGTTCACTGCATGCTTTGGTTTTGGTTGGGAGGGAATTGGTCCACAACGAAACATTTATTGACCGATCAACAATAGGATGGGTGCAATGCCACAAAGTTCCAAAGTTTATTTTTAGTGTAAAGTTTCTGATGATTCATTTAGCCATAGAATAAACATTCCGCGGACTGCATCCGATTTATGTGTTCGTAGTGATGTACTGTACTTTGTCAGTGCTTTTTATTTATTTAGCTTCACCTATAATTACACAATCAAAGAACCCTAACCCCCAAACGCTAAAACTTCAATGCAACCCCAAAACTTTAAAACCGTTCTGTCCAACCCCAAAACGCTAAAACTTCAACGCAACGTACATGATTGCAAAATTAAACCTAGGATGGTTTAATTTTAGAATACCACCATTCATTTTAATATGTTTGAATTTTATGAGCCCAAGATTGGGAAATACGGAAAATTGCTTAAAAACTTGGCTTAGACTTAGACAAAACTTAGCGAAACTCAGCAAATACGCCGAACCTCTCACGTTTTAAGGTTGGACACAAAGGTGACATGCAACAACATAACGTTGAGAACAACAAAAAAAGCGGGACACCAATAAAATCAATTACTGTGGGCCTTTGGATACAGAAAACACATAACCAATATATAACTTGAAACGGATAATGAATATAGTGTATACAGTACTAATGGCAGCATGTTAATGGTTGCATGAGTTTGCGTGATGTGTTGCATTTCAAGCAGACCATTCTCCACGTTCTGGCGTCGTCCACATCATAGAATATCTTGACAGCGTTGTTCAATGTCCAGCAACAATGTTCTAAATCGTACCAGTGAGAGCTCGTTTTGCCTTTGACTTTCTGGCAGAGAGTTGTAAGTTCTTATTACTCTGATGAACTGTAAGTTCTTACATTTGCGAGAACGGAACGAGAACAGGTTGGTGTCAACCGAGGTTCCAGTGAGCTTTGATGGGATAATTGGCTGTGGAAGGACTTCATTCGAGACGGTTGTAATGTTGTTTACAGCTTTAAAGAAGAACATAATGTCCAGGTACTCTCTTTTCAGTTACCACCAGGGACTTGTTATTGATCTTATAACGTGTTTTATACTACTCTTTTTCCTTGTTACACGCTGACATTTGCATTTCTCTTGGTTGAAGACAAGACCTGAATATGTTGACCAGTTCACAGGCGGCCCAATCTCGCAAGGGTCAGTATAGACTTATAGTATTATAGTATTATAGTATAAATGTATATTATATTAATGTATATTATAGTAAAAAATATGTCGTAAAATATAAATTTAAAAATGAAATTGACTTGCCTATTTGATAGTGTGTGTTCTCCTTTTATTCCTCCTTTGTTGGACTAATATTTTCCGAGACTTTGTACTCGATGTTACTAGTATACATGAAACATGATAAAGTCTAACGATTCTCGATCGTCAATCCGACGGCACGGCACTTCGAATCGAAAATTCTCACACTCAAATCGCTTTATTCTCCAAAACAATTCGCCAGCATGTACAACAAGTGCCGTTCTTTGAAAATACGGAGGTACTTCGGCGAAATGTACAAGTTTTGGACCATATTTTAACAATGGAAATCAAAACTCATTTTATATTGAACTTACCCGGACCGAAAATTACTACGGCGAACGTCTGCGCAACCAGACCTCCTTTACCGTTGGATTTACAGGAGGGGAGGATGCCACTAATATATTCACGACAATATTTCGAATTAAAGTATCATATTCTACCATACTTTCCAACATAGAGCCGCTGTATGTTACTTCTTCCCTAAATTTCTTCAATCTCCGTCGTTTAATTTTCTTTTCTTCGATAACATCTCGAATTTTATACAGTATCCGATCAAAGGAGTTTTTATTTTGAATATCAAATTTCAAATAATGTAAACAGTCGCTACGCGACCGCGATTGGCTGCTTCCCCCTTGTAAATCCAGCGGTAAAGCAGGCCTGGTTGCGCAGACGTTCGCCGTAGTAATTTTCGGTCCGGGTAAGTTCAATATAAAATGGGTTTTGATTTCCATTGTGAAAATATGGTCCAAAACTTGTACATCTCGCCGAAGTTTCTCGCCGAAGTATTCGTTTAAAGAATATTCTTATCTTTTGGCCCTTTCGAAGTGCCGTGCCGTCGGATCGACGATCGGGAATCGTTAGCTTTTATCATGTTTCATGTATACTAGTAACATCGAGTACAAAGTCTCGGAAAATATTAGTCCAACAAAGGAGGAATAAAAGGAGAACACACACTATCAAATAGGCAAGTCAATTTCATTTTAAAATTTATATTTTACGACATATTTTTACTATAATATACATTTATAATATAATATAATATACATTTATACTATAAGTCTATACTGACCCTTGCGAGATTGGGCCGCCTGTGTGCTGAGTGGTTATATTACTACCTTAAAAAATAAGCAGAAACACGACGTTTCAAGCGAAGGCCCTTCGTCAAGAGTTAGTAGCAGAGATCGGGCTTTTATACTTTTTATACTTTTAACCAAGTTTTGCTATTATTACCACTAATAATCTACAATGAGACCGTTCAAAATTAACTCTCATATACAAAATTATAATTACCTGTTACATCTTTTTCATTATTTTTCTGCTAATTTTCTGACAGTCTCGATATTTATAAGCGATAAAATACGGCGTTCACCTTCAAGCAAAATAAACATTGGCTTTGCGAGGCGAGATTTCACGCAAGTTAATCCATTTGGAAAACTCAACAAGGGGGGGGGGGGGGGG